CTTTCATCATACATGATTAGAACAAGGTAGCCAGAAGATATTGTTGTACACTAAATAATTTGTTCTATTAGCCATCCCAATTCCTAATCCCCAATAACCAGCCAGTATGTGATATATAGGAAACACATTTATTTAACCCACCACTTGATTAATTTTTTACTTATGTTATTAATATTTTTTTAGATCACATGATTGGGTTGAGTTCACCCCAGTTCTTGGATCACCTAGAGAGTAATAGTGGCGTCTACCTTTACTGTTCTGCTATCACGGCTCGCTTTCTGCAAGCATCTATCAGACACCGCCCTTTGGACCCGTTTGTGAGGCCATTACCTCCTGAAGAACCTGTCAAGATAACAGTTCCCAATGTTGCTGAGGAAGCTAGCCATCAACTCTGTGTCACTCTTATACCTGCGGGACACTGCCCAGGATCAGTCATGTAAGACTTGTAAAGTGTACCTGTAGACTGGTCATCTTTAGTTTTTGTATTCAGTAATCAATATCATTTGCTGTTTAGTTATACTCTCTTCTGGTATATATAAACTATCACAGATTGTAATATGAGTTACATCTGTTTAGGTTAGTAATAGTTTTTTTTTAGATATATATTTTTTACATTGCAGGTTCTTGTTTGAGGGAAGAGGAGGAACTGTTTTATACACTGGGGATTTCCGTACAAGTGTAGGAGATGTAGAAAGAATACGAGCATTACACAACTCAGATGGCACTGTTAAGGCTGTAGATTCTTTACACATAGACACCACTTTCTGCCACCGTGATATCTTGCACTTTCCCTCAAGAGAGGATAGTTCATCTGCCATCTGTGATCTTGTTGAAGACTGGCTGGCAAGAGGAAATAACCATCTCATACACCTTGTGTGCCCAGGTTGGTGATTGATCCTTAAACTCCACTGCAATGTTATGCATGAAGCAATCCTGTAATTTCTTCTCCTATTCTTTCTTTCTTTTTTCTAAATAAGGTTACAATCTGTTTTTAAAGTGTAGCACACTAATGGTAGTTAACTGCTTGTATTAGGTGTAGATTATAATTGGGCAGAAAGGTTTTAATGTCTTTCGCAGATATAGATATAGTTACTCTAGAGTATTATAGATAACATCTTTACTTTATATAAATGAAGTAATGTGAAGCATAATGTTTAAAATTTTATGTACATTGTAGCTGCATTATTAATCAATAAGAAGTAAACAATTTTGGATACCTGTGGATTATATATGGTAATAATTGTCTTTAATGATTAGGGAAAAAAATTCTAATTGAACATTTATATTTGGTAGAATGTGTCTCCTTATATTTACATGAGTATAAGTACTTGGAGACTCAACTGTAAATAACTACAGCATTGTAAATAGCCTTAGCGTCCTAAAGGTGGTTTGGTTATATGATTAGGTAAAGAGAGTCTGGGTGTCCCACAAAGAAGTCCACTAGTACTGCTCCTATGTTCACTCTGTATCATTGGTCTTCCACAATGCACTGCAAATTCTTTTACAGACGTTTTCCCTATATTATTGTGATTTTTTATTTAACAGATATAAGTTACTTCAGTAAGTCTTAGATACCTTTATTTGGATTAACCTGCGCATGTAAAGAGTTCTTTTTTATGTAGATAACATCAACGGTGTTATTTTTAGAAACCTATTTCTTGTGTGCTTTTGATTTTTAGTGAGCCATAACATAATCATAATTTTTTTTTTTGTGGATTTGCAATTTGCATTATAGTCTAAGAGGATACAGCAGTGCATTGAGATATTTTTTTACTGTTATTGGGGTAGCAGCAAAAAGTTGTCATATCACATTTTTATCACTTAATTCATTCAAGCAGTTATATTTTTCTAGATTGCACAAATCATATCACTAAGATTTCACCAGCACAAAAAAGTACTTGGTCTTGTTTCCACATTGTCTAGCCTGTATATGAAAAAAATGTTCTCTTTCGTACTCTTGTTATTGTGAGAATCAATCTCGGATAAGCTTTCAGAAATGTGATAGTATATATACATTTCATGTAACACTTTCATTTAACTTTGGATATATTTTGATGATTTTTTGGTGCAAGATATTTAATGATTAATTATTGTAAGGAGTACTTGCCTTCTGGGGAAACATAACCTTCGCTCTAAAAGGATATTGATATTGGCTGATATATCATACAATAGTGAAGACTGCAGGGAAGGATATGAATAATATATTCTTGGAAACATGCAGGTCTGTATTTTGTGGGAGCCTGATACTTCAGTTTTGACATGCACTTCTGTAAAGCTGTGTTTGAATGGACTTTCTCATAAACTAACAACATTTTGCACTCAATCCTTCAGCAAAATATGGGTACGAATATGTATACCGAAGCCTCCATGAACGCTTTGGGATGCGTGTGCACGTCAGTCGGTGGAAGTATCGCATGTATGACACGGTACCAGAAATTCAGGATGCACTTACCCCAGATGCAACTGAAACATGGATTCATGCCTGTGATTGGAGGGTTAG